AACATCTTGTCAACCACCATCCAGGTAAACAGGACACGCCCCAAGGCCCCCCTCATTCCCACATTGTTTATTGCTCTTCTCAGAGGCCAGGTGTAGGATTGGGTTCTTCTTTCTGTGATACAGATGCAGATCTTCAAATTGGAAAACTCATGTGGGGAGACAGTGGACTCTATTACTGTATCATCACCACCCCCGATGACCTGGAGGGCAAAAACGAGGACTCGGTGGAGCTGCTGGTGTTGGGTGAGTGGAGACGTGAGCATCTTAGCCGCTGGCCGGTTCCTCTTCTCGGTCCTTGCCCCTGCACACAGCCTTTATCCTCTACACCCTGACAGAGCGCTTCGGGTGTCCAGTAGTTCTTCATCTCATTTCTTGGTGGCTATGGCCCGCTGCTTAGCAATGCCCTGAATGTTTCTTTTGCTCTGTTAGTTTTTTATTTCTTTCCTTCCTTCCATTTGCATCATTAATCCAGCTTTATCTGGCTCCAACCTTTACTTACCTTTTTATATGCTAACCGTGAAGGAACCGCCTGAGGCCCCTGAAGAGGGTAGAGACCCAGGAGAGCTGGGAAATCACTGGTGAGTCAGGACCTCTGAGAATCAGGAATCCTTCCCATTCATTAGCTCCACTTAGGACAATTACGGGAGAGATGGCTGAGAACTGGAGAGCTTAATGCTGAACGGTGCCATTGCAAAGAGCTTCTGGGGAATGTGGCAGCCTTTAATTGGAAGGCAAATTTCTTGAAACCTAGAAGTGTCCGAGTTCTTCTCAAAGCAAATATATATCTAATCCTTATTAATAGCAATTTCTCCATAAATGCCAACTCATTACTTTGAGTTACTGTTCCTCTTTGGTGGACTGGAGGGATGTCAGTGGGGGTGACCTCCTATGAACTTAAAATTGAGCACATATTTCATGCTCTGTAAGTGTTGGTTGAACAAGGACATTGAAATAAAACATAGGAATGAAAAAGAGAAACCACATGAATTGTAGGGAAAAAGGTAAATACTTGATGCCATTTTTTAAAAGAAATTATGTTTTTTAGCTTTCAAGAAACCATGTGTTAACAATTTGGGGGAATATTTAAGGTTTAAAGGCAAATGAGGTTATAGGCTAATTTTCACCCTCCCTGGGAGACTCAGTACCTAGGGAAAACTTGAATTGGCTACTTAGGATTTCGTTTCCTCAACCATGAGTGTGATTTTGGCAAATCAATGGTTCTGCTGCCTTAACTTTATGACTTACAGAATGGATGAAGTAATAATTATTAAAAATCAACTCTTTATTGTGAATAATCAACCCTTATTGGAGGGTTGACTTAATTCGAGTGCATATACCTTGGGCCAGCGCATCATATAGCCACACTGCTGTGGTCCAGAAAGGGATGGGTACAGATCGGAAAGGAAATAAAGGAATGAACAGCTTCTGTGGATTTTGTAAAAGGACCTAGGGAAGTCAGATGGGGGATCGGCTGTGTTTTGGTAACTCAGAAGGGAGGAAAAGATAAATTTCTGCATAATCACACCTCACTAGTGGCCAGGTTAGAAACAGGTGGCCCCGTGAGCCTACAATTAGCTGACTGTGGACGGTTGTTTGGCCAGTGCCGCCATCGTAGGAAAGTGGTTGCCTGTGCAGGGGAGGCGGCCAGGCAGAAACCACTCTAAGTAGTCCGGCCCCAGTTCCACACGTGGGAAGGAGAGAGGCTGTGCTGTGTGTTTGAAGGGCATTCCTCTGGATCAGACCTGCAAAGTAACTTGGGCAAAAATGGTGTCCTCAGGACAAAAAGGCGGAGAAAGGAAGGCTCAGATGGAAAGGGTTACCAACGATGGGCAAAAAGATGGAGAGCAGAAATCAGTGCTACTTAAAGGGAATCAGAAAGGAAAACTGGGGCCCTGGCGGTTTGCTCAGTGGAATAGACTGTGACTGCGACTGAGGGTCCCAGGTTTGAT